GAGGCCGGGACAGTGGCTGGGCAGGGGGAGGGACAGGTGCCGGGGCAGGGGGAGGGGTGGCCTGGGTGGGCTCTGCGCGCCGCAGCACCAGACCCCAGAGGATGCTGCGCACCTTGAATTCACGCAGGCGCCTCTGACATTGTCTCAGAACCGACTAGAACCCCTGGTCTGTGAATGCCACAGGTGGGGGCTGAGTTAGGCGTGGCCTCAGTGGGGACCCCCCCCAGCACTGCAGTCCGCCGTAGTGTAGTGGGTGGCGTGGGCCATGCTGCGCACTTGGAAATTCTCAGAGCCCCCAAGGGCCTCCTGGCCCCCGACGGTGCTGCCTCCCTCCATCACCCGCCAGGCGCTGCGCAGAGTGCGCAAGGACCCTGCTTCTCTCTGCCTGCACCCCACATTTCCTGGGGAGGGGAGAGAAAAGGAAATATTCTCCTAGAGAGTCTCATTAGTCTTTAGGCTTCTCATTAAGAAATCGTTTAGATTCTCATTTGCCAGAGTTGAGCTGGAGGGATGCAGGGAGAGTGAATGGTGAGGGGCCTGGTGGCCCAGTCCCTCTCTGAAAGGTGCTGGCTTCCTCTCTCAGACCAGCATGGCCGCCTGGGATCTAATCCCTCTGGCTCAGAACCCCTGGAGAAGGGAGAAGATAGTGTTTCTGTCCTGATGCCCTGCACCTGGCCAGTATCGCTGGGTCCTCGAAGCCCAGACCCTGACTGCTGATCTGTGTTGCTCGTACCCCCAGCCCCACCCTAGGAATGCCCTCCGTGAAGGTCCTGGGTCAGGCCAGGTCCTCCAGCCCAGGCATGACCCGGAACACCTGCTGTTGCTCCCCCGGGGCTGTGCAGAGGCTGCTGCCCATCCTGGCGTGGCTGCCCAACTACTCCATGCAGTGGCTGAAAATGGACATCATAGCTGGACTCTCCGTTGGGCTCACGGTCGTTCCCCAGGCACTGGCCTATGCCGAAGTGGCTGGACTCCCGCCCCAGGTGAGGTGTCTGTCCCTGCTGCCAGCCACGTCTCCTCCCCACAGCCTGACCCCACTCAGGCCTCAGCACCTGCCCAGAAGCAGGGTGGAAATACGTGGTATCAGTTCCAGACTTCGGCCTTCCCAGGTTTCCAACCCCAGGGAGCCTAAGAAACCTTTGGTTTACAGTCTGTGACAGGTGACGCACTCCTCTGCCTGCATGTCAGAGATAGGCACCAAGCTAGTCCAGAGAGATGACTCATGGTGGCATGCACAGACCCAGACAGCACACAGGCCTCTGTGCTCCCCGCAGGCGGCACCAGCCCCCCCACACTCTGGCCATCAGCACCCCGAGGCCCCGGTTGGTTGCTGCTAAATCCTAATGGCCGCAGGTCTTCAGGGGATAACAGAGGGTGGTGGCACTCCCTGCCTGTGTTTGAAGGTGTGCCCAGGGCACAGTTGACATCCGCAGATCTCTATGCTTGGATGTGCACACCAGGGACACATGTGGATGGGCCTGAGGCCTCCTGGGTGCTCATGGCCATCTCTCCCCACAGTATGGCCTGTACTCTGCCTTCATGGGATGCTTCGTGTATTTCTTCCTGGGCACCTCCCGGGATATGACTCTGGGCCCCACGGCCATCATGTCCCTCCTGGTCTCCTTCTACACTTTCCACGAGCCCGCCTATGCTGTCCTGCTGGCCTTCCTGTCCGGCTGTATCCAGTTGATCATGGGGTTCCTGCGTTTGGGTAAGACTCTGCCTTCCTGCCATGGGTGGGAGGGGCTCCGGTTCTGCTCTTCCTGGGGTGCTGAGGCAGCTACTTCTTGGGGTGCCCTTGTCCTCAGCATTTCCTTGCTTGAATTCCAAGGGCTAACTGTGTGTGTTGAGGGGGGTGAGGCCCTCAGCCCCCAGTCCAACTCTATTGTGCTCGGAGACCAGGACACTAGAGAAGTACCCAGGACCTCAGACGCTAGACCTGCTCTCCAAAAACAGTCCAAACAGGGCGTGTCACTCACCAGTCCTTAGCTCCGCAGTCCCTCCCATGCCATCTGTCCCAGCCCACATCTCCACCCTCGTCCTCTGGGGCCAGAGGGAGCTAGAACCAGCTTAGCATTCTCTCTCGGTTGGCCAGGGTTCCTGCTGGACTTCATTTCGTGCCCTGTCATTAAAGGCTTCACCTCTGCTGCTGCTGTCACCATTGGCTTTGGACAGATCAAGGTAGGCACAGCGTCCACCCAGAGCACTGTCCTCTGGCCACTGCTAGTTGGCACAGGGGTACGTGGGAGCAGGACCAAGGCCAGTCCTATATTTGTGGCAAGAAGACGTCTTGCTGTTTGAGATTGTCTATTCTCAATGGGTCAAGAAGCACACAGTTCTCTCATGGGTCCCCCATTAATAAAATGACCCTCCTGGGGGAGGGGTTGAGTGATTGTCAGATTGTACAGCAAGTGACTTCAGGGACTGGTAACCATGTCTACGGGTGGCTCGTGCAGTGTTGGTGCCTGTGTGCCTGGTTGGCTTCTTGGTGCAGCTACCGGTGCTGCGCACAGCCCGCAGGCCTCACCGGTCACAAGCACACTGCTAGCATTTCAACGGGCAGTTCTTTCCCTATGCTAATTTAGCTAGATCATTTTGTGTTTGTGCTTTTTTCAACATCTGTTTAATGTTTTTTAAATGCCATGTTTTTATGTTCCTACTTACAACGTCTATAAGAAGTGTTAAAGTCAATGATCCTGAATTAAGGATGTAATTTATTGTCTCTTTACTGGGCCCTGAGTTTCTCGAGGGCAGGGACTGTGTGCTCCTGCCCAGGGCTGCCCAGCACTGTGCCCAGTGTGGAGTAGACAGCGCTCGCTGGGCGTGTGTGGAATGGGAGTGGGCTCAGTTCCACGCATGGCCGTGGGGCCCGGATGGCGGACTCCGGGCCACCCCCCTGCTGGTGACAGCGTCCCGGAGAGGCCCCGTGGAAAATCCAGGGTGGGAGACCGTGTGGAAATAAAGCAGGGGACGTACTCAGCACTCTGTGCGCCAGGCACTGGGTGACACACTCCGTGTGCTTAATTCTCACCGCACTGCTGGGGGGCAGGTCTGTCCTCATCTTCATTTTGGAGAGGAACTAACTTAGGTGAGGGTGAATGTGACTTGTGTATCACGTGCACACCCTCCAGGGTGTGCTCCAGGGTAAGCTTGGAAGATGCTGTCTCAGGGGTGGTTCGTCCTTTATTCTGGAAGCATCCTTCATTTTCAATGTCAAGGATATTCTTTTATAGGGCCCTAGTGAGAGTAGAGGGCACCTGTATGCATTTGTGCCTGGCAACCTGGTCCCCAGCCCCATGTGTCCCCCTGGGAGTCTGGCCTCGACTTCTTGCTGATACTGATACCAGCTCCCGAGAGACAGAATGAGCTTAAAGCACGAGGGAGAGCCCCCCACCCCCTCAGCCCCTGCGTGCGGGGCTGGATTGTTTCTTTCCGGCAGGGGGCGGAGCCGGTCCAGGGACAGACGCGGCCTTGAGCCAATGGCAGCGAAGGTCCGCATGATGGGGGTGGGCCTCTGGGTGATGGACGCGGCCTCGAGCCAATGGAGGCAGGGCAGGGAGTGGTCGGTCCCGGTGCCTCGTCCCAGGGCCCTGGCCTCAGAGCTGTAGAACCCGTCTCCCATCTTTGGGGTCACAGAGTGTTTTTTTTTTAGAGAAACACGTCATTGACCCAAAGGTTGTGAAGTGCTATCTCTTTGATCTTCTGCCCTTGGGGACTCGGGAGAGGGCGGGTGGTCCCCTGAGAGCCCTGAGCTGTGCTCCTGGGAGAGCCCTGGAGGTCGGGATCCTGCCCCAGCCCAGGCCCTGGCCCAGGTGGATGCAGACTCTCCTCCTCCCCTGGCAAGAGGGAGTGAGGGGAGGTGGGAGCAAAGTGCCTTGGGTCAGGGACCCGTGATCTGGTCAGTGCCTCTATTTGCACAGAACCTCCTGGGACTGCAGAACATCCCCAGGCAGTTTTTCCTGCAAGTGTATCGCACCTTCCTGAGCATTGGAGAGACCAGGTAAGGAAGCTCTTCCTCCCACACCCCTCGCCCAGCTCCCCCTCATTGTCCACCCCAGGTGGCATTTATTCTTCCGGGGCCTTACTGGTGACAGCGGTCCCCAGGGTAGCAGCAGCACCTGGGAGCTGGTTAGAAATGCAGACTCTCAGGCCAGGCTCCAGTCCTGCTGAATCGGTCAGCGTTTTAACGAGAAGCCCATGGTTTGAGCCTGAGAGCCGGCAGCATGGCACGCTCCACAGAGCTTTCTTGGGCAGCGGGAAGGAGGAGAGAACCTGCAAAGAGAAGGCAGGCAGTCTCTCTCCTCTCTCTCACGGGATTGTAATTTATCGGGGAAGAGAACACAGGGCGTGGGGAAGGCGACACCAACGGAAGGCAGGTGTGGAAGGGAAGGGATGAAGGAAAGCGGGTGGAGTGTTGACAGAGATCCAGGCAGCGCTGGGGAGAGGGGCCCACCCAGCGCTTCCCTGGGGTGGTTTCGATAAAGAGACAAAAGCCCAGCAGCAGCCAGGATAGCTCTCCCCCTCTGTGGCTGGAAGGGACAGGGGAGGAGATGGTTTTGGGGGAGCTGTAGAGATGGCTGCCTGGTGCCAGGGCCTGGGGGTGGGGGGTCCTGGACCCTTGTCTTCTGTCCTCTGATCAGCTGCTGAGGTTCCCCAGCTGGAAGCCAGTGGGAGTGGGACTCTCTCACCAGTCAGAGAGCGGCACTGGGGTCAGAGGTGAGAGGGGCCTTACCGAGTGCATAGGCCAGAGCCTTCTAGAACAGAGGAGGACCTGCAGTACGCCAGCTGCAGTCCTCATTCCCTGTGGTTACTCACCAGATCCTGTTCCACAGACCTGAGTCCCAGAGAGCTGTGAGACTGAAACATGGAAGGGTGGCCCTGCCGCCATCGTGACTGGCCTCTCACTCCCGGTCCTCTACAGGCCTGCGTACTTACTGAATTTGGGGTACAGTTCTGAAGTAGAATAGTAGATTACTTAGGAGAAAACACAAAGCCAATTGAGGGAGAAAGGCTTCCAGCAGAAGCAGCAGCCGGAGGCCGGGAGGCTGGAGTCAGTCTGAGTCGTGGACAGACTTGGGTGGTGACGGTCCTCTGTCTCTCTGCAGGGTGGCTGATGCTGTGCTGGGGCTGGTGTGCATGGTGCTGCTGCTGGTGCTGAAGCTCATGCGGGACCACATGCCTCCTGTGCACCCCGAGATGCCCCCCGGCGTGCGCCTCAGCCATGGGCTGGTTTGGGCTGCCACGACAGGTGAGGGGCCCCACAGACGTCATGTGCAACCTGGGCACCTAGGGAGCCCCGAGTCACGTCCGTAGAGGTTCTCACGTCATCGGTGTGGGCACAACTTGGACATTGGCGTGCTTAAAACTCAGTAGGTGGTTTTGATCGCATCCAGAGCTCAGAACGCCGTCTGCAGTAGCAGTTCTCAGCCAGAGGTGATTCTGCCCCCGGCAATGTTTGGCAATTCTGGGAGACACTGGTTGATGCTACTTGGGGAGGCTTTACTGGCAGCGAGTGGGCAGAGGCCAGGGATGCTCCGAATCACCCTGCGGTGTATGGCTTCTCACAGTGTCTGGCCCATGATGTCGGCAGTGCCTTCCTCCTCTGGTGTCACTGATCGCTGCTTAGCTACGGGGACCCAGGCCTGTCCTGGATGTGCTGAGGAGAGGCTGCTGCCACCCCGGGGATGGCCACTTGATGCACTGATGGCCACACTGCCCCTGTCACCTTGCACTCTGTACCACGGCCTTTCTCAGGGACCCTGTGGTTACCCGCGGCTCAGTCTGCAGCCTCCACGCCTGAAGCCACAGTTTAGCTACTGCTGGCAAGCGTGCGGTTAAAACAGACCCGGCAGGTCTCGGTGGAATTTGTTTTCTCTCCCAAGGACCTGCCGGCAGACCAGGTTTCTCAAGCTCGGCACTACTGACATTCTGGGCCAGATGCTTCGGACCAGGTTGTTCTTTGCCGAGAGAGGCCGTGCCCTGCAGGGTGTTTTTGTTTCTAGAAATTCGGTTTGGCTCCTTTCAACGTATCTCCCACATCTCTGCTTAACAGGCTTATTCTTTCCTCTAGCTTTTCAAATGTGTGGAATTTAATTCTGTGTTTTAATTCTGTCATCTTTAACTGTGTCACTTTGGGGTGAGTTTTTCCTGATTGATTTTTCTCCATATTACGGGTCGTATTTTCCTGCGTCTTTGCACACCTCGCGGTTTCTGCTCGAGTGGGTGCCAAACTTTGTGAATTTGATGTTGGCTGTGGGATGTTTCTGCATTCCACGGATCTACTGGCACTTTGTTCAGGGTACGGTTAAGTTACTTAGGACAGTTCGATCCATTTGGTTCTTGCTGTTAAGCTTCACGGCTGGGCTGCAGCAGTCTTCAGTCCAGGACAGGCCTACTGAGGCCCACCGCTGGCTTTTGCAAGTGTGATTCTACTGAGCTTCCGTAGTGTCTAAGGCTGCTTTTGTGCAGTAACAGTGGAATTGAGGAGTTGCGACAGAGACTATATGGCAAAGCGAAAAGCATTTACTGTCAAGCCCTTTATGGAAAGAAATTACCAGCCGCAGGTCTAGGGCTAATCTTACCCACTGCCGAGGTAAAACTCCACTGAGTCCCGATGCCCCGTGAATTCTGCGGTTTTCTCACTCTGGCTGGTGTGAGTCCCTGGGGTCGTCCCCTCCTGGGCAGTTTGGGAGGTTTCCGCACAGCTTCGCCCTGGTCTGCGCACCCAGGGCACCCTCCGCAGGGCTCTGGAGCTCTCCCGTGAACTTCCCTGTTAGCCCCAGGCCCTGGCCTCCACGGACCTCCAGCATTTGCCCCTCAACCCAGGGAAACCCCTCAGGCTCTGTCAGGGGTCCCCCAGCCACACACCAGGCCCTGGGGACTCTGCGGAGACTGTTTTGGACTCACCTTGATTGATTCCCATGTCTGTCACGCCTGATGGGCAGCACCTTGAAAACTGTTGTTTCATGTTTTGTCCGGTTTTTAGTAGTTTTAGGTAGGTGGTAACTCTGGTCTCTTTCTCCGTCTTGCTTCAAAGTGGAAGTGCCCTGGGCATCCGATTTCAGAGTGTCTTTGCCGCTGTGCACGTGGTCTGTGCGCCCCCTGGAGGATGGGCAGGAGGAGGCGTGTGCACCGGTCTGTGTCCTGCCGCTCTGCTGTCCCCATGTCATGCATGCTCCACAGAGCCGCCTGCTCACGCCTGCCACACAGACCCTTGTATCTGTGCTGTGTTTCCAGCGTGCAGAGTGAGGGGTCGTGGCTGGGGCGGGTGTTTTCTGCCCGTGAGGCGTGTCTGCCCCAACTGCCCGGCGCAGAGGTACGTCCTTGCGCTTCCGGGGAGCAGGTTTCGCCGTAGCGTCTCTCTTTCTCTCCTAGCCCGCAACGCCCTGGTGGTGTCGTTCGCGGCCCTGGTTGCGTACTCCTTCGAGGTGACTGGATGCCAGCCTTTTGTTCTCACCGGGGAGACGGCCGAGGGGCTCCCTCCAGTCCGGACCCCTCCCTTCTCAGTGACCACCGCCAATGGGACGATCTCCTTCACCGAGATGGTGCAGGTGGGCAGAGACAGGCACCAGGACTGCTCCCGGCCTGGTGGCACGTCCGTGACGTGTCTGCGTAGGGACGGGAGGGCTGAGCTCAGTTAGGACTGCCAAGTGCTCCATTTTGAGAGAATCCCAGACTGGACACGGCCTCACGGGACATCCCGTTTGTGTTTCTGCCTCGAGCCCAGGGCTGTTTCTCCCGTTTCGGATGCTGGCCAGGGACAAGTTTGCCGTGTTCCTCTCACATCTCGGTCCTTTTGCGACGAGGAGGTGGTGCTTGCCTGTGTAAGCTCACGCACCTGCAGGCGCACTGGCTTCTGGCAGACGTGGAGAAGAGCGGGACCCCGCCCTGGCCGGTCACTGCCTGGTCGGCCCCGTCCTCTCCTGTCCAGTTAGGCCACTCATCATCCCTCTCTCCTCTCAGGACATGGGGGCGGGGCTGGCTGTGGTGCCCCTGATGGGCCTTCTGGAGAGCATCGCGGTGGCCAAGGCCTTTGGTAAGACGTCCGCCACCCACACCCTTGGCAGTCCCATTCCGAGGCTCACCTGCCTGGCTTGGCTGTCCTGCTTTCCTGCTCGCTTTTGTCGCTCTAATTTTAGAAAGGTAAATTTTTATCCAGGTCACACACGCTCATAGGTATGTACACACACACACACACACACACACACACACACACACACACGTACATACAGAGCAAAGAGGGATTTCTAATGAAAACCCGTGTGCCGGTGAACGTTTGAACGGCCTGCACTCTGTGGAACAAAAGTTTGCTCCCACCGGGGCCGACATAAGCTGAACGTGACACAGAGCTGGGGTGGGGTGACTCAGCGCTGGGGTGGGGTGCGCATGAGCCCCGCCGTGCGGCACCTCGCCTTACAGGTGCGTTGGGTGCAAATAACCCCACCAGTAAGACGTCAGATAAGTTAGGAAGTGATGAGATTCAAGTATTGTCTTCTTTTCTAATGTAATTTGTTTAATTAAGAGTTTTAATTTAATTGGTAATAATGGCTGAGTTTAATAACAGGCTCACAAAATTCCTACAAATGTAACAATGTGCTTTCTCCAGCTGGCTCAGCCCCCAGGAGGCAGGGGGCACCGACCCATTTAAATATTTGCTTCTCCTTTAGCAATTCTTGATTTCCTCCGTCCTAAGCTATTAAATCCTCCTGCCCTGCCCCGTCTCACTGGGGTTATGGTGCTCCCGGCGTGGGATTGTCAGTGTGGATGCCACTGTCATTCCAGCCTATAACTGTAATTAAGTCCTCCTTGTCTTTAGGGTTATGTAGATTCTAAAGGTTAGAACCCAGGTAACAGTGAATGTTATCGTGACTCCATAAGGGTGTTCACTACCCAGCCCAGGTTGTACCAGGATAAGTTCCTTCTCCAAAGTTCCAGGGCTCTGACCTTCACCCCATTCAAGGGAGACTCCTAACTAATGTCAGTTCAAGAGGGTTTTCCAAACTCCAGCAATTGCTCAAAATCACACCACAGTTCAGTTCGTTCCATGTGCGGCTTGTGTCTGTCTTGCTCAGTTATTGCTTTCCTGAGTATATGTCTTTCTGTTGCAAGAAGAAATGTAGGTGTTTCCTCCAATTCTACATCTTACAGCTTTTACTCTTCTTGTCTGCTACTTAGAAAACTTCTCTTTTTTTCGTTTTCTTTTTCTTTTTTTTTTTTTTTTTAGAGATAGTGTCTTGATATGTTGCCCAGGCTGGACTTGAACTCTTGCCTCAGCCTCCTGAGTAGCTGGGACAGACACATTCCATTTTCTTCTGAAGTCGCCCAACCTCCCGGCCGTATCTGTAGAGGTGGTTACTCTCTTACGTCAGGGGTTGGCAGACTTCGCCTGCTGCTTGCTTCGTGTGGCCAGTGGCCTATTTCACATTTTTAAATGGTTGGAAAAAGTCAAAAGAATAATAATAATTTGTGACACGTGAATTATATATGAAATTCAAATCTCAGTGTTCACAAATAGAATTTGTTGGAACATGTCATTCTCATTGGAGAATGTATCATCTGTGGCTGCTTTCGTGGTACAACAGCCAGAGCTTTGTGGCCACGACAGAGCCCGTGGGGCCCGCAGAGCTTAAATACTCATGATCTGGTGCTTGGTGGGAAAAGTCTACCAGCGTCTGTCTCAGCTGCCTGCTGGGCCTCCCCTGACGTCCTTGCTTCTCGCTGAGATAGCTTCATCTTTGACTTCTTGTCGTCTCAGCTTGTAATGAGAGGTTTTTAGTTTAAAACATTTTTCTCTTGTTATAAAAGCAGTGACTGTAGATATTTGTTGTAGAAAGTGTCGAAAGTTCGGCAGTGAGTAAAGGAGAGACGGATCGCCCGTGAGCCCTTCGCTCACCCAGTTAACTGCCGCAAACACCTCATTCTGCCTCTTTCCGCCTTCTGCGATGCCCGCAGACACGCTCTGTTTACGAAACTTAGTGCTGTGCACAAATTCATAACCTGTTTTCATTTCACGAGCGAGGGCTAGCAGATGCCATTTAACCGTGTCTTTGCCATTCGTTCTCTCCAGCGTCTCAGAATAATTACCGCGTCGACGCCAACCAGGAGCTGCTGGCCATCGGTAAGACTCCAGCCACGGGCCGGGAGCCTGGGCCTACCCCCCGCGTCTGGCTGGGCTGTGCGGAGTATCGGGACCGTCTGATGGTCGGACCGCCAGGGGCAGAGGTCCGCGGTTGAGCAGAAGTGTTGGCACGGATTCATTCCCGGGTCTCCACATGGTTCAGTTTAGTCCCCAGAAACGGAGCTGACGTGTGTTGTCCATTCTGACTACCACTTACTGAGCACTTGCTGTGGACCAGACTCTGAGGTCTGTAGCCTTGGTCTATACCGAGGAACACCCGGAATGTTCCATCTCAGAGAGGGAGCTTCCGGGGCCAGGCGTCAAAGAGCTGAAGAATGTGGCCAGGTGAAATCTCAGGGGAGTCTCCTGACGGGGCCTTTGCCCTGCCCTGTGGGCCCCTCCAGGCAGGGGCGTAATCGAGCGAGGACTCAGGTGGACTCTCAGTTGCCTGACTAGATGGGATCCGTGCCAGGTTTCACAGGGTGATTTTCTTTTCTTCTGTCTTCATGAACCGGCTTCTCTGATGGAGACCACAGCACGTCTCTTAAATTCAGTTATTTTTACTGTTTTCACCATACTGGGGGTCCCAGACCCTCCTTTCCTTCTGGTCCCTCATGAGACAGACACAGATCTAACCCAATCAGCACTGTTGGCTTCCTTCCCACGGAGGTGTCCCCTAGCAACACCCGGACAACTTCATGAGAGGGTTTTGGGCTCAAGCCACTTGGCTCCTTGATGGCAAAGCCTGGGGGGTCCCAGGCGGGACCACGGAGGGGCGTCGCCCGTGCTCCTCTGTGAGCTGGTGGAGAATGGGGCGTCGCCCACGTGGCTGGGTGGAGCTGGGGTTTCCCAGGAATCACGCACCCTCGGGCCGAGAAAACCCACAGACCCCCCCCAAGCACCCAACCCATTCCCGTTGCTTCAAAAACAGCACAAAACTATCGTGTTGGGACGATGAGTTCCGGATACAGCCAGACGGGGGAGGCTGTAAAGTGGAGGCCACGAAGCTCGGGCTATGGAAGGTGGATGTGGGACTCCTTGATCTGAGACAGGCCACGCGGGTTTCTGCGGCCGCACAGCAAGAGAGGCTCACATGAGCCCCACGTGATGCTGAGCGGGAGGGTCGTCCCTGGTTGGCAGCTGCTCAGAGGGTTGGGTCTCTGACCTGCAGCTGTTAACGGGCGAGGGTGACTGTGTGCAGCCTGCGGTCCCCGCCCCGCAGCGTCTGCACTTCCGGGCCCGGGCCCCTCTCTCTCAAGGATCCGAGCTGGGCCTTGATACCTGGGAGGGGCTGGAGAGCAGACCTCGAACCCGGGAGCCCTGTTGTGGAGGGTGGTGGGCATGGCGGGGTCTTTGAGACGGCCCCTGGGTGGGATGGATGCTGGCAGGGCTGCTTGTGAGCGGCGTGGGCCAGTCTCGTTGGTTCTCAGGCCCTGGCGCGGCAGTGAGCCTGGGCTTCGTCCAGTGTAGCCCGCAGCACCCTCTGTGCGGACGGCTTGCCGGCTCACGGGAGGGAGTGGTGGGTTTGGAAGGAGCTGGTGGGGAGCTGTGGACGGCCGCCAACCTCCTGAGCATGTTGGGTTTGTCTTAGGGGCGCTTAGCTGTCACTCTCTTCTGGGAGGCGGGATGCTGCCCCGTTATATGTGGGGAAAGGCACGTCTTGTCACACAGGAGAGGCCGGGGTCAGGTGTCTCTGACAGCCAGAATCTGTCTCGACAAAGTCACAAAGTCTGCCTTCCCTGAAAGGGTGAGCCCCAGGTTCAGGCCCCTTGTGGGGGATCCCTCCACCGCTGCCCTCCTGTTCCTTCCGGGTTTCCATCTCCCCACTGCCGTCTCTTTTCCCTCCTCACAACCCTCCGCTTCCTCCCCAGGCCTCACCAACGTGCTGGGCTCCCTCGTCTCTTCCTACCCGGTCACAGGCAGCTTTGGACGGTAAGTGGCCGCGTCCCTCCTCTGCTCCTGGGGGAGGGCCTTCGCCCACGTGCAACTGCTTTTTGCTCCTGTCCTGGTTGGGGGCGTCTGTCATCCCTCTGTCCGCTGTTGACCGGATGCAACAGGGCTGGGGGCCGCTGTCCTCCAGGGTCCCCTGGCTCCTGCGTGCCGACAGACGGCAGCGCAGGTCAGCCCTAGAGAGCTCCCTGTGCGTTCTCCGGTCCAGGGCTCATTCCTGACGGGACCTGGCACAGGAAGGACAGTGGCTCTGCCCTGAAGAGGTCCAGACCCGGGGCCCCTCTGGGTCAGGATGGCAGGGTGGGGGTGACCCGTGGCTTAAAGGAGAAGAGCAGGTGTCGCCCAGCAGGGTCTGGTCCCCAGAGTCAAGGACTCCGCCCTGCTCAGTGTGGCCCCTCTGGACGGGAAACAAGACAAAGTGGGTCGAAATCTCGAAGGCCTGGCCCTTTTTGGTTGTGTTCTTATTGTCAGTGACAAATACGTATCACCTAAAAACACAACAGGATGGATCGGGCACAGCTGCCTGTGGCTGTGCCCTAAGTCACCTGGCCTCGGTGCCCCCACCCCACCCCTGCTTCCCAGGCCGCGCTCGGAGCCACTGGCCCTGGGAGATCAGCCACGGCCACGTGGACAGAGGCCACCCCTTCCCCTCCCGGCCCCCCCTGTTTCGTTTTTTCTTTGCTTTCCGGGCGGGTTTTGACGGCCCGTTGGGGGTTTTGCCCCCCGGGGGGGGGGTTGTTGCCGGTTGGGCCCCTTGTTTTTTCCCCTTTTGCCCTTGTTGTTGGGGGGGAGGCCAACAGCTAGAGACGGCCCTGCTTAGTGGGCCACGTCTGCTGGAGCCACATGGGGACTGGGGGCCGTGGTGCTCATCCACCCGCCCCCCCTTGTCCCAGGCGAGGCTCCTCTGCACAGGGGACTGCTTGCTGGGTGGGACCCTGACCCCCAGGTCACCGGTGCCCCGTATCCCACAGGAGCGCTGGTGTTGCTGTCCCTGAACTACCTGACCTCCCAGTTCTACTACATCCCCAAGGCCGCGCTGGCCGCAGTCATCATCATGGCCGTGGCCCCGCTGTTTGACACCAAGATCTTCTGGACACTCTGGCGCGTTAAGAGTACGTGTGTCCTGTCCCTGGCGAGGAGGGGCCAGGGTGCGGCGCCTGTGACATGGGGTTGTGCTTGATGCTGCACAGCCGGGGGCTGGAGCTGGGAAGTTAGGTGGTCCCAGGACAGAGGAGCGAAAGGCCAGGAGGCGGCCGCAGAGGTGGCCCATGGCTGGCAGGCCGTGGCTGCTGGGACCAGCTGCAGCTCCTCCTGCCTGAAAGGCTGCTGCACAGCTCCGCGGGGTCCTGGCGCAGCTCCGGCGTGGGGCGGCCCCACCTGTCCCCACCCCACCCGCCTCTGGCTGGCCCAGCTGAGGGGGGACTTCCCGGGGGACCAGCAGGGTCCAGCACATCCACTGCCCTTGCTACGCTGGCCCCAGTGCCTCAGGGTTTCCTGAACCGGCTGTGCCTTCAGTGTAACAGATTTCGTTTTGTTCTGTGTGTGAAAGCAGCCCTGAAAGGGTTTGTGTAGCTTATTTGGCAGTTTTGGGTCAGCCCTGGCAAGTTGCCACGTGGAAGGTCCTTGGTATATTGTTGCATCTGATCCTTAGAACAGGCCTGGAGCGTCGTGCCCTCGTGCAGTACAACAGACGCCACCGATGAAAGCGAGGTTCAGGGAGGGTGGGGATGTCTGAGTCACGTGTGTCGGTGGACTCCACCCGGAGCTGACCACCAAGCTCAGCTCTTTGTCCCAGGACACCTCCTCCTTGGCCAGGGGGCTCCAGGGCTCATGTGACCCTCCACCCACTTCTCAGGCCGGCTCTGTGCCCGGCCCCCCTTTGGTGCCGACGAGCCCCTGCCGTCCTCCTCCTCCTGTCCCGGCAGGTCTTGACCGTGGCTCTGCAAAGACGGGGAGGGGATTTGACCTTGAGCCATAGCCCCCATCCCCACGGCATGGCGTCTTTGGCAGCTGCCGTCCTCAAATCCCCAGAATGAGTCCCCTTGGGGGCCACTCCAGGTCCACGAGTGTCCTCCTCAGCATGGAAGAGGCCGGGAAGCGTCCTCCTGGGTGTGGGGGCTGAGCCGGGCCTCGCGGAGGAGGGCGCGCCGCTCAGCCGCACCCCTCTCCTAGGGCTGGACCTGCTGCCCCTCTGCGTGACGTTCCTGCTATGCTTCTGGGAGGTGCAGTACGGCATCCTGGCCGGGGCGCTGGTGTCTGTGCTCATTCTCCTGCACGCCGTGGCCAGGCCCGGGACCCAGGTACCAGCCCGCCCGGGGGAGGGGGAAGCACCCCGTGGACAGGACGCCTCACCCCTCAGCACGACTCTCTCGGGTCGTGAGCTCACGGAGTGACTGTGGCTGCGGCCGCTGCTGAAGGTGACCGCTCGCTGGCGGGCAGGCACACCCTCTGGTTACAAACCACGGCGCCCACCGCACTGCCCGCCGGCCGTGGGGGATTCCTGCCAGCTCCGCGCTCCCCGTCACCTCCAGTGCGCTGGGCCTGGGTCGGGGCTTCCTGCCTGGGACGAGCCACACCTGGCAGAGGCCGCCCTGTTGGACCCGCGTCCAGCAGCCTCTCGCTTCCCTCAGGTGTCCGAGGGGCCGGTTATCGTCCTGCAGCCAGCCAGCGGCCTGCACTTCCCTGCAGTTGAGGCCCTGCGGGAGGCGATCGTGAGCCGGGCCCTGGAAGGTACGTGGGCTGGGCCGAAATGGAGAGACGGAGCTGAGATCATCCCAGCCAGGAGGATTCGGGGTGTCTGAGTGCACAGGGCCTGGCCTAACACCTGCTCTGCTCTGTGCTGCAGCCGGGGTGGCAGTTCCCCACACGTTGCTCCTCCGTTGCCCCCGAGGTCCTGTTCCTCCTCCTGGGGAGCCAGTGGGGGGCCCAGGGGCCTCTGGTCCTGGGAAGGAAGCAGCGGCTACTGTCCCCAAACAGCTCTTGTCCCGGGAGCACTTGCTGGCCTCACTCTGCCCCTGGCCAGTGCATCGGGCTGCTTTGCCCGGCGTGACCGGCTCGGGCCTGTCTCCCCAGCGTCCCCCCCTCGCTGCCTCGTCCTGGAGTGCACCCACGTCTGCAGCATCGACTACACCGTGGTGTTGGGGCTCGGCGAGCTCCTCCAGGACTTCCATAAGCAGGGCGTCAGCCTGGTCTTCGTCGGCCTGCAGGTAGGTGAGCCAGTCGGCAGCCGCCGTGTGGCCTTCCTGCCAGCCCCACGTTCCTGGGCCATGATGTTGCCCAAGGGTGGACTGCCCAGCCCCTCCGCTGGCTCTGGCTCTGCCTGGTTCCCGTACCCATCCGACCTTCCGCCCCCTAACCCTGTCAAATGGGGAGTGGCAGCCCCCTGCCCTCCATGGGCTCACGTGTGTGGCCTCATCTCTCTTGCGGTCGATGCCAATCCACGTTCTCTGCCACGCTGTACTCAGTGCTGGGGACACAGGATGAGTGAGAGCTGGTCCCTGTTCTTGGGAGCTATGGTTTAGGAAGCAAAACACACATAAGCATAGAATTGTGTGCAGAGAGGTGTTGTAGGGGCTTCAGAAGGCTCAAGAGGACAGGTTTCTGCGGAGACCGTCCTGGCAGGGCACTGGTGAAGATAACAGGTCGGGTTTGTTGGACTCGGTTCCTGCAGCTCTCAGAAGCCCCAGGCCGGGGCTGTTCGCCAGCGCTGCTCTTGTTCACGTTAGAGTAAGACCAAGAGGGTCACAGCCTCACCTGGGAGCATTCCGGGCAGTGCAGGGCTGATGTCCTGGGGGAGTGGCCGGGGATAGCAACAGGAGGGGTGGCTGTCATTGTAGTTAAGTGTCCTCCCTGCCACGTCTTACGCGGTGGCATGTGGGGGACGTCAGCGTGTCCCCCAGGCTTGCGGAGGAGATGTTTGTGAACTAGCCGTGAAACAGGTGCCGCTCGGACCCAGCACGCGGGTGTCGGCACAGCGGGCACTCGGGGTTTCGTTCACTCTCCAACCAGGTGCCAGGCCCATGCTCTCCTCATCCCCCTGCCCAGTCGCAGTCACCCAGGCCCAGAGAGGCTGAGTGACTTGCCCGAGGTCACACAGCGAGGGTGGCAGGCTGGCTTCAGACTCGGGGCATCCAGGGCTTTGCTCAGCACCTTCCGTCCTGTGTCGTGTTCACAGCGCACGTGTCTTCGTGGTCTTTGGAGACAATTCCTTTAAAAACACGCCCCTGTGGCAGCATCCCCTGGGGCAGGGATTCTCGCCACTTCCCCGTGTGGATGTGAAGCTGCCCCTTTCCAGGGGGTGCTAAGACAGGGTGTCCACGCAGGCCGCCTGCCCCGTGTGTCACAGGGGAGTGTCCCTGCCCTGGGTTAAAGTCTGTCTGTCCCTCAGGTCCCCGTGCTCCGTGTCCTGCTGTCCGCTGACCTGAAGGGGTTCCAGTACTTCTCCACCCTGGAGGAAGCAGGTGGGTGTGGTCGGATGCCCTCCAGAGAGCTGGGACAGGCCAGAGCAGGGTGGTGTCTCGAGAGCCAGTGGCTCTGGGACAGGGAGAGGAAGTGATCGCAGGCGGCTGGAGGTGCAGGGTGTCTGCTGCCCTGGGTTTGCAGGCCCAGGTGCTGCCCCGTCCCCATCTTCCGCGCAGGCCTCAGCCGAACGTCTCAACTGCGGCAAGAGTGAGGGCCAGCGGAGGGGGTGGGGCGGGGGGTTCGTGGTCGTGGAGGCCCCTTCCTTCTCTGGGACGTGTTTTTTCTGACAAATGGATGCATCTGGGTAGAATCTGAGATCATTCTAGAAAGTTCCGCCAGGAGGAACCACCCTGCTGATTTCTGCCACCGTTGGTTAGTTTTACCTGTTCTAAAATTCGATAAAGACTCCTCTTGCGTCTGGGCTGGGCTCACCCTCGCTGTTGCTAGGCGCAGCTCAGTGCGGGAGGTGGACAGACAGGCGGGCCTGGCTGCAGGGTGGAACGTCCCGGAGCAGTGAGGGGATTAGCAGTCACGTAGACAGTAGTGACGTGCTTGGAGAGACTTAGGTGAGACCTTTCGCGGTTAGGGATGCCAGCCTGTGTGGGCCCCGCCACCCTCCGGTGTGCCAGGGTCCTGAGATGCCAGCCTCTCACCCCTTCCCGTGAACGGGCCCATCCTCTCTTCGCCGTTTTAGTGCTGGAACAACTTGTGTTTTCTGCAGAGAAATACCTCGGGCAGGAGCCAGGGACCCAGCCCTACAACATCTGCGAAGACTCTGTTCCGGAACTCAAGGCCGCCCTGCTGGAGGCTTAACGGAGCCGCCACGGGCGTCCAGGTGCGAAGGAAGGGTGTCCCGGAAGGTTCTCGTCACTGTGATTTGATGCTGGATACCGCCCGACAGACACGCTGGCCTGGTGGGCTGACAACAACCTGAGCAGGTGACCCTGGGGGAGGAGAAGGAAGCCCCGTGTGGACCCACAGGTGGGACTCGCCGGCTCCCTGTGCGACAATTGGAAAAGTACCTCCCTGCTGTTCCCCGGCATGAACCTCTTTGGAAGAGAGGTGTGGAGAGAGCCTTCTGGAGTGACAGACATGTCAGAAAGGAAGGAGCAGGGTTTCCAGCCTGTGCCGGGGGCGGCGTCCTCAGCCCCCAGCACCTGCCGGGATCTCGGGTGGGTTCCACCTTCGCACCAGGCAGTGGCCGGGGAGGGGCGGGGAGCGTGGCCATCTGGGAGATGGGTCTGCTCCCGATGGTGGCGTTTGTGCTGTTTTAGGAGAGAAAACCAAGGTGTGCCAAATGACTTAAAGTCGCTATTTAAAAATAATTTTGTGATTTTTAAATGAAAAAGTTAATAGCTTTGGTGATTTTGTAAAAATCATGAACACTTATTGTAAAAAATACAGGAAATCATTCCCCGCCAGCCTACTTTGGTGATCACTCCAGACCCCCAAGATGCATATATGTCTGTCACCATGTGGACGTACTTTTACAGTTTTACATACATGGGATCATTTCATACGTGGTGCTCTGTAGCTCACATATTTCATGCAGTTGTTTGCTGTGAGGTATTTATTGTGATAGTAAATAGTATTAGAATGTGTGATTCTCACTATCTACGTATTTTGTTCGGTATGTGTACCCTAATTAGTGAGCCCTCTGTTCCCCATGTGCACGGGTTATGGACTGAACTGTGCCCCCAAAAATGCTGCAGTTGAAGCCCCACCTGCAGTGCAACCCTGTCTGGAGACAGGGCCGTTAGGAGGGAATTAGAGTTAAATGAGGTCACAGGGTGAGGCCTGGAGCCGGTAGCGTTAGTGTCCTTAGAAGGGACACCGGAGAGCCCTGTCTCTCCAGCTCACACCAAGGTCTCAAACCTGGGCTCGCGTGACTGCGGATTCTCCAGCCACTAAGCCCGTCCTGGCCTGTGGGCGCACGGCCGCTCCCTTGCCGCCTCGTGGCCGAGGTCAGGCCAGCGGGTACACGTGGGCCAAACTGTGTCCCCCAAAAGCCGTGTGTTGAGTCCTCACCCCCAGTACCTCCGAACGTGGCCTTACTTGAAAATAGGGTTTTGCGTTGGAATTAGTTAAAATGAGGTCACAGTGGGGAGTCAGGGGGCCCTAATCCATGTGAGTGGTGAGTTGGTCACAGACACAGAACAGCAGAGATGGGATGACACAGCCGCGAGCCCAGGAACGCCGAGGCAGGTCCGCAGCCCCAGGAGCCGGGGGACAGGCCAGGACAGATGCGCCCTCACGGCTTCCATGGGAATCAGCCCTGCCGCCACCCTGACCTCCAGCTTCCAGCCTCCAGGGCTGGGAGACGGTGACTTTCTGTTTCAACGGCCCAGCCTGTGGTCCTTCGTGACAGCAGCCCTGGCCAACACGCAGGGTAAGAGACGCGTGGGACCTCTGCGCCGTTCCTAAGTGCGGCCAAGGAAAACCTCCCGTCTCCCTTCTCTGCACCCCTCCCCCTTTGTGGCCGGCTGCGGTGGAGATGATTCTTCTTTCCAACTCTCCTGGAAGTGGACAGAACACTCCCTAGCTCATTCTATGCGGCTGGTATTACCCTGATGCTAAAACTAGTTAAAAACATCACAAGAAAACTACCGACCAATCCATATCTCACGAATATGGACACAAAAACCCGTAATAGTAGCAAACACAAAATACGAGCAAACAGCATCCAGCAACATATAAAAAGACCCGAACACCACGATGAAGTGGCTCCTGGGAATCCGAAGTTGGTCCAATGTCTGGAAATCGGCTAATGCGATCCATCATATCAGTGGAATAAAAAAGACCGTGTAGTCATCTCCACAGATGCAGGAAGCGCATTTGACAATATCCAGGACCATCCACTCTTGAAAACGCTCTGACAAATTCAGAATAGAACAGAACTTCCCCACTCAGACACAGGGCGTCTGTGCAGAGCCCACAACTAACAGCGTGCGTAACTGTGTGCACGAATGCTTTCCCGAGATCAGACAGGACTGGAGTATCTGCTCTCACCACTTCTGTTCAACATTGTGCCGGAGATTCTAGTAGGAGAAATTAGTTTTTTTAAAGGCATCTAAAATGGATAGGAAGAAGTAAAACTGTCAGATGACATGATCGTATATGAAGAAAATATAGCTATTGTATATATGTTAAATACACATACACACATGTTAACAGAAAAAAAGCCAGACTCTTTAATTTTAAAGAGATTTACTCTGAGCCAAATTTGAGGACCATGACCCGGAGCCATGTCCAAGAAGCCTTGAGCAAGTGGACTCCTGTGGCTGGGTTAGTTTGGTTTTATACATGTCAGGGAGACAGGGGTTGCAAGCAAAGTCATAAATCAATGTGTGGGAGGCATACCTTGGTGGGCCATCTCGAAGCGGGGGCCTTACAGGTTACAGGTGGGTTTAAAGATTCTTTGACTTGTAACTGGTTAAAGACATAAAGCTTTGTGTAAAGGCTTGGAATGTTTCAACATAAGGAGCTGTTAATTGGAGATAAGTCACTGTACATATGTTTGGTGTGTAAATTGAGGACCTGCAGGTGTGTCTTGCATACCCTTAGGCCTGTTGGTGGGTTACAAAGGATGTCCCCAAGAAGGGAGGGGGCATGGTGAGGCATGTCTGACCTCCCTCCTCCTGGCAGGCAATTTAGTTTTAGGATATTCCTTTGGCCACGAGGGGGTCCGTTCATCCAGCCGGTGGGGGGTGAGCCTTGAGATTTTATTTTAGTTCACACACACGTGCAGTCCTCCCGCAGTATTTACAGCGGCCTGTTCACACCTTCCAGCCACACAGGACAGCATCCGGGCACCACCTTCCGCCAAGCTGCCTTCCAAGATTTAATACTCCAGGTGCTTCTACCAGCCAGGCGGGGTTACCGAAAGCTCCGTCACTCGTCCTTGAGGCCGGATCACAAGAATGAGGAGGAAGGAAAGAGAGTCTACTTTGCTGGCAAAAGAGGAAATAGGGTAGGCCTTCTTGTCTCAAAATCCCAAATTTCCTACACGTGGGCAGAAATACAGAGCTTTTAAAGGGAGGGTTCTGGGCTTCAGGCAATTACTGCGGTTAACTATTCTAGTCCCATCTCAGCCAAAGACAAAGCCTGTGAACTCCGCGGCCGCCCACCTAGGGGCTGGTGGCACCACCTGGGAGTTTTAACGAAAGACTTAACCTGCCCCAGGGATGCAGGCTGCAGTTCCCAAAAGAGTGGGGGAGTTTTAAAAAGAGAGAAAATCTTTCTGCCCCTTTTTTTTCCGGGCCATTCCCTCTCACCACGGGGTGGGTGGGGGTGATGAAACTAGTCAAGTCCAACCCAGGACGCTGCAGGCAAACCAAGCCAGAAGAAAGTAGGAAAATGAAGCCCACCAGGGTCACGGGTGACTCCGGTGCTGTGGTCAGGGGCCTGGTGATGCCCACGTGAGGTCTCCCGAGGACCACCGGTCCCAGCCACAGTTTGCTCTTCCGTCTGCACGGCCGGAAGCCCGCGGTGGGGACACCATTCAGTGCTGATGCGGGACCGTTTTGGCCCCCACTGTTTTAACCTGGGCAACATTTGACCCTGGGACATTTTTTTACTTCATGAGGTCAAAGGAGCATGACCCCCATTCAAGAGTGTTCAGGCCCAAAACATAACTGGCTCCTACCAGCCAAACGTAGCCCCAACCCGTTTGCACCCAAAGCCCATTTAATGAACAGCTTAACCGCCCGTCTCTCTCACGTGAGCTGTAAGGGCGGCCCTGCTGAAGTAACAGGAAAATACCGAATCTGGCAACTTTGGCACGAGCCTGACTGCATCGGAGACAGCAAGTCTCCGGGAACAGAGAAAAAGCAAGACAGACAGACACCTTGACACAACAATTACTATTTTTTCCTTCTCTCTTTGTCCCCATAAAAGCTGCGGCCACGTGGCCTCGCTGCTGGCACCTCCCTTCTCCTTTGGGCTGCCACGTGTCGCCCTGCTCGCTTCCCCTCCCTCCTTCTCTCTCTGCTAAAAGGACAAAATAAAGTTTTTGCTTCTATATCTTACTCTCTGCATGAGAAATCTTTCTCCACCCGCGCTGAGGCTTTTCCGCCCTAACACAGACGAGTTGTTGCATTTGCGTTCTCTCTGTGCGGACATCATGGCCACAGTTAAGATCTGAAAGCTGACTGGCGAGCAGCTGCCACCAGCGCCGGGACTCTGGCCCTTCCTGCCCTGCAGTTTTTGTTCACATAGTCCTGGAATAAATGGGAGGGCTCTATTCATTCCTGCGCGTCTCACAAGCCCTGCTTTGACACAGGCTGTGAGCCCGGGGACCTCTTGCAGAGCAGGGACACAGAGCTGTGGCCTCAGAGTGGAACAGTGTGGCTCCAGGCCAGGGCCTTCCTGCACAAGGCCCATTGTTCTTGCAAACTCTGGGATCCAACCTCCCCCGCACTTAGCTCCCTGCGAAGTGTGCCTCTCTGTCATGGCCCTGGGCTGGCAGGAAAGCGTATGTCCACTCCTGCAGCAGCTCTGCTAAGGCGACATTAGGATTACCAAGATCTTCTTCTAGAGAAGTGCAGCTTGAGGTGTGTTTTGGGCCTGACTTTCTGCAACCAGAAGGTCAAGCAAGTTTCAGATGCTACAACATCCTCTGGACCAAGAAGAGGGTCTACGTCAGGTTTCTACGATGGAGTGGGCAGAGCTGGGCTCGGCCCTTGGAAGACTGTAGTCTGATCTAAGCGGAGCAAGACACCCTTCAGTGAGTTGAGAAGTACAATGACAAGGACAGGGGGCTGAGGGGCTCGGCGGTGGCCCAGGGCAGCTGTGAGTCAGGGGGCTCCTCTGCTGATCTCGTGCAGGCTTCTCCCCAGTGGATCTTGCACAGCCCTTTGCGGGCACGGAGCCTTCCTCCTGGGGGAGCAGCCCAGAGTCAAGGCTGCCGCACCCAGGGAACCGTCCTTCAGCAACGGGGTGCAAGGCAACAACTACTGTGAGGGCCTAGCTAAAAATAATGATAATAATCAGTAACTGTCCCCCTGTAATTGCCACTCTGGAGCCAGCCATGCAGCTGGTATCCATAAAGATTCTTCACTTCTCCCCACACCCGGTGTCCATAAAGATTATTAACTTTCTCCCTAGATAACATCACCTTTCCGAAACCTAAAGGTAGTTTTCAAGATCCCTCCAGGCCCCGCATTCCAGTGGATCCATTGGCCCCCCCCAGACCAGCGGCCACACCAAGAAACCATCTCACCTGGAACTGTGACCCCAGGGACAGGAGCAGCATGAGAAGATGATTTCTACATCCCTATAATTTGGCCCCAATTAACAAACCTAATTG